GGGGATGGAAGAAAGGGTATAAGGCCCCCTGATGTCATCTCTTGGGAGATCCACTGAGGCACACCCAGGCCTGTCGGTCTCCAAGCAGGGTGTCTTCCTGCTCTGGGTGGAAGGAATGGCTCCCAGATGGCAGGAGCTGGTGTGGACCAGCATGACTGGGGAGGAGGCAAGGCTTGACTCAGATGGATCCTTGTAAGATGTGAGGGGCCAGGAAGGCTGCCCCGGGAGGGAGAAGGCCAAGGAGCAGAGGCATGGCATGCTGTTGATTAGAGCTTGCTGAAGGTACCAGGGATCTTTCAGCTTAGACATGGGTCACCTGCACTGGAGGCCGAGACCTGTTTGCTTGAGTTAGAAATTCACGGGTGGGTGTTCTGGGTCACTCCCTGGGCTTCACAGGACATGGGCCTGTCTTCTGCTTCCCAGGACTCGACCCCCCAAGCTGTAGCTTTCTATTCCTTGATATTTTGCAGTTTAGGTCAGGCCTATCAGGTCAGCCTCAAATGTACCCTACCTAGTCTGAGACACAATTGCGGAAGAAGTCCAGGTTGGTAAAGCAACGCAGACCCCTCCTCCCCTGCTGGCATGTCTGGTGCCCTCCCCCTTAGGGCCCCTTAGCAGAGATCACCCCCAGCCTGCTTTCCTCAGTCGGTGCTTCTCAACTGATGGGAGGCTGTCTTACTGTCCCTGCAGCATCATGGGCTGTCTTGTCTGAGACGACCCATCACTGAATACCCGGTATGCTTGCCAAAACCACCCTGCCTTCCTTTGCCTGCCACACTACTTATTCTCGAAGCTCTGTTCAAACACCACTCCCCCGGCCTCCCCTCGCCCTCTCTGGCTGTGTTCTGGCCACCCCCTTTACTTCCAGGGCACCCCTTCACCTTACCCCTGTCCTCACTACTATATACGGTGTAGGGGGGGCCCAACCTTGATTCTTTCCAGTTTGGTAGACAATTAAGTCATTGGCATTTATGAAACATCTTTTTCCTGCCCAGTTGAAACATTGCCTTTGTTGGACATATGTTTTCCATATATGCTCAGATCTACCTCTGTTTGTCTGCCCTGGTGCCAATTCCATGTTTCTTGTTTGTTTGTTTGTTTGTTTGTTTAAACTTTTTTTTTTTTAAAGATTTTATTTATTTGACAGAGAGAGAGAGAGCACATGCAGGGGGAGCGGCAGGCAGAGGGAGGGGGAGAAGCAGGTTCCCCGCTGAGCAGAGAGCCCAACATGGGGCTCGATCCCAGGACCCTGGGATCATGACCTGAGCCAAAGGCAGACGCTT